TTGCTTTCCCAATACCGTGGATAAGTAGCCTTACTGCATGGCGCACCCTGACATTGCCAAATCTCAAAATACACAAAGGCAGCCAATCACGGACTAAGTCCTCTGTAGGTAGCAATAAAAGGAAACCTTTTGTCCTTGAAAGCTGCCACCTTGGGAATTTTGTCACCATGGTGGTGAGCCAGCAAACTCAGCCAGTGGCTCTGTTTTCTGTTGTTGAGTCTTTTATGCAAATCCAACCCACCTCCTCACTCCCTGGGTGTAATGGCTGTGCTACTACGTGTACTACAGTCCTGTCGCATCTGTACTACATGTACTAAGGTACTACGCCTGTAGCTGCTGCCTGTACTACCGACCATTCACTGGGCAAGGGGCTGGAGATTGAAACACACACAGAGAAACAGAGACACAGGTCATCCTTGAATTCCCCAAGAATGCCAACTTTACTGTGTTCCAGGGCAGCTTATATAGTGCCTTCCCTGACCAATGGCCACGCCCTAGCTCTCGGGATTTTCAGCTGCAAACCCACCAGAAACCACTCCCCTGTCTCATGCTCAGAGCTGTTGCAAGTATAGGAAAATGAGTTGTTTACAGAAAATTCAGGGTCTGGGGATCTACAGCCCCTAACAACCGGGGATTCATTCATTGGTCAGAACTTTGTCTGTGTGCATGGCTGACAGTCAAGCAAATGTTTGATACAGATTAATAATTAAAAATAATAATAAAATGGAAAGGTGGTTAAAGAATTTACTGAGATCTGAGGGTGTAACTCCATGATAGAGCTATATCCTGACATGCATAAAGCCTGGGGTTCAATTCCCAGCACCAAAAGATTTAAAGAATGAGATAAATATCAGAAGGAAAATATTAACAAGCAAAACAGACATAGGGAATTCATCGTGTTGAGGAAGACCAAACCCGAGAGGGAGGGAGAAATGGCACAGATGCCTAGATATGAAAGAAACGTGATGAGGGGAAAGGAAATGCTTGAGCCAAATCCAAATGAACAGAGTTCAGAGGGAAGGCAGGGAAAATTAAAAATGGACTCGCAATTGTTTGAAAAAACTAAATATGAACCCCAAAGAACTTCATTTTAGAATGCAATAGTTCCTACTGGGGAAGAGCAAAGAGTGACAGAGGAACAGGAGTCAGGAAATGTTAATGAAATTTTACAACACCGAAAGGAAACTCTGTTCAGTCTACAAACTATCTCTGTTTCACGCAGTGAAGCAGGGTGAGGAGGGATTGATGCTGAGCTTTTAGCTGCAGTGGATACAGCAAAGCAGTGGTCAGGGTTTTTAAACTCTCAGCAGCCTTAGAGTGCTCTGTGCAGCCAAACCATCTGCAAAATAGAACATCACACAGTTTACGAGACCCCAGAGAATCTGCCGGCCGTAGCGACAGAACATTTCGGTGAATCGCTTACAAGAAAGAACCAAAACCAAGAGCTGTTTCAGGTTACCTGGCTGGACGCAACAAATGCAATGCAGTTGTCTGGTAATGTTTGTTATCTTAAAACGTCAACAGGAACAAAAGAAAAAGATAAAATATACCCTAAGTAATATATAGTCTATAACATAGATTCTCATTGCCCAGCATGGTAGCCATAAGCTTCAGGAGGCTACTAAATTTACTTTTTAATCTATTCAAGTTAAATAAAATTCTAAAACCTGTTCCTCCGATTGCACTAGCCATACTTTATAGTCTTATGTGTCCACTGGCAGCTATATGAGACAACATCACATTTCTGTCATCAAGGAGGGTGCTATCAGACAGCCACAGGGAGCATCAGTGGGGTGGCAGGGGGTGCTACCATACACGTGTCTCAGTCTGTGTCATGAAAGCAAAATACTGAGGTGAGGCAAACAAAGTAATGCATTCAAATGGTAGAGGTGATTTACTATACCATAAACTACAGTAAACATAAATGGGCTTAATTTGTACTTAAAAAGAAAAAATTAGAAGGATTTCAAAAGCCCAGCTGGCAGACATACAATTCAGCCACCCTAAACGAAGAATGTGCAGCCATGCATTTAATGCCTTGGTTCAGCCATCTGTAACTTTCACTCCTGTAGGTCAGTCAAGGACATATGTTACCAGTTCTCTATATAAAAATACACATTTTTCTCAGGTGCACATATGTAACAACCAGTCACAGTGAGAGCTTCTTTATCACTCTGGATGGTGGCGTGAACCTGGGAGAGAGGGGCCACAAAGAGGCAGACTAAAGTCTCACTCAACAGCCAACTTTATTCAGAGTATCAGGCAGTTTACACTCTGGGGGTTAAAACAAGTCACACGTGGTAAAAATGTTTTCCGTAGAGGCATATAAGTAGCCACAGCTGAAGCAAACTCACTTCTAACTGCTACACCGGAGGAGCATGAAAACACTCCAAGAACAATTCTGTGGCTTTTAAGAAACGAACATCACAAAGCTCTTGTTTTTCTTGGAGTTTTCTCACAATCACTGAGAATTCTCTCATGACTCCCTTATCAGACTGTGTCCTGACAAGGGCTGGCTGAGGAGAGCACAGTCAAGAGCATGGCCTGGATAGGTGGTTCTTCTTTACTAGTTCAAGTGCTCGGAGCTCAGCAGGAAGCTCTTGGGATCATCAGACCCACCCTCCATACAAGAGATGCCCACAGGAATTCCCTAAGCACCCCATGAGGGTGCGTACTCAAGGCTTGGCTGCACCCCACACAGCTCTCTGTCTCTCGTCTCCATGCATCCACCCAAACAGACTGCACAACAACCTGCCATAGCCTCGCAGGGCTGGGCTTAAATGGAACTTCTTTTATATTCTAAGAATTTTGGCTGAATCCAAAGATTAATGAGTACACCTTCAGTCTAACATGTAGCACTGAATATATCTGGGCTGAATGTGTTACAGAGAAAATAATCCCAGAATCAACCCTGCCATATAGTCCCAAGGCCCATTGCTCATCTCTAGAGATGACCCAGAAACACGCAGAGGAGACCTCACAATCCTCACACATTCAGCGTGGAGATATATAGCCTCTGCTCCATTTAACCCACCAGGGAGGCCAAGAAATCACTCTGAGAGGCCAGGGTACCTGCAGGAGGTCTCGGGACGACTTCCCCGGCTGCAGTTCTGCCACGTGGGCTGCAGAAATGACCAAGCTCATCTTATGTGGCTCTGTCTCTCAGAAGACATCGTCCCAAAGGTGGCTATTTCAGGTCCCGGGAAGGAGGAGGCTGGGGGTCTTTGGGATTTCTCAGAACAGGGGACCCACATGACATATGAGTCTGTTTCCTCCCAGCTCTGACCACATGCCCCATGGTACGAAGCGTACACACCTCAGATACACAGCTCTGCTTGCTCTCACAGACCTGCCCGAGACTCCCTTCTGGAAAGAGCACCGTGGGAGGAGGAAGATAGAAAACCTGTATGTTGGGGGACTAGTCTGTGGTTCTCACCTGGTACCCTGTTCTTTATGCAGAAAACCCTAAGTGTTCCTTCTGTATCATGATCCATAACTTCCCACCCTTCCTGGGTGTTCCCCTCGGCCTCACATAGTCTGTCAGTGTCCCTCAACTAGGGACCTGTCCCCAAGTCGCTACAACTTCACCCTAACGGGAACCAGGGAGTAAAAGCAAAACATAGTCGTGCGTGCCTGTGATTCCAGCCCTCAGCCAGAGGACAGCAGGCTAGACCTCAGCCAGAGGACAGCAGGCTAGACCTCAGCCAGAGGACAGCAGGCTAGACCTCAGCCAGAGAACAGCAGGCTAGAGCCCGGCCTGGGCTTCGTAAGACACTGAGGAAAAGCCTAGCAAAGATAGCGGGGGAAAAAATCACTCTTTGTAAATTTTCTAAAAATTTTTTTTTAATTTTTAAAAAGCCAACATTTTTTTCTCATCAAAGCAATCCTAATTACTGAATCTTACAGCATGAAATAAACAGGCCTAGCAACATCAGCTAAGCCAGGTTTCTTTCTCCAATATACTCAATATTTTTCTTTATTCCAAAAGCTCAGTGACTTATTAAAATATGGAAAAAATACAAAAGATTTAAAGTTCAAAGATCTAGGTATCATTTTCTAAAAACTGCAATTAAGTCACAATAATTAAACTCTTGCCTTTCTGGGGTATTTTTTTTCTTAATTCTCACCAGTTTATGTACTTTTTTCCAGAACAACTTAATTGGCTCCAAAAATAGTCCATTAGAGAAAAACAGCAAAGGGAAGTCAATAATTTTTTGCATACAAAAAGGCCCAGAATCTTATAAATACATTATAAGTAATTCCCGAATACATGTCTATCTAAAAGACTTTTTGAGTGACTTCTCTGTTTCGAAGGCCCTGGATTATGGCTCTATCACGTCCTGTGACTGCAAGATGAGGAAGATGTCTTGCCGTCTACCCAGCCTTTCTTCACAGCTAATTCACTGTTCAGTTCTGTGGGTCCCAGCAGGAGGACAGCTATCCCGTGCCAGTGTAGTGTGAACAGAGCCGTGCTGCCTCCGTGACAGCCTTGGTGTCCCTCCCCAGGACGACAGGGCACCAGAAGGACCAGACCCTCAGCTCTGCTGGATCTGTAGGAAACCTCAGCCGAGTATGGATGCCAGAGGCTCAGATGACAGAGAGAGCCTGAGGGAGCTTCCTGGTGTCACACTGCTCCACCAAGGCAGCCAAGTAGCGTCCATGTCTCCACACACGCAAAGCACGAAGCCAGTGGCTCCAGAGACTTCCCAGCACAGTGTCTGGATGGTGGACAGAACCCAGAGGTTGCCAGGAAAAGAGGAACTTTTCTCAACGGGGAGCTGTAATGATCAGGCTGGCCCATGAGCATGTTTGAGATCAGGCTAGCCCGTGAGCACGCCTGTGGTCAGGCTGGCCTGTGAGCATGTTTGAGATCAGGCTGGCCCATGAGTATAAAATCTGACAGTCCTGTAATGCCTGCACTACAGGACTGGTTGTGTACTGGGAACTAAGCTGGAGACTTAAAATCACACACACACAGAGTAAGAGACAGACAGACATGATGGACACAGGTCATCCTTGATACAAGAATGCCAAAGGCCAAATGCCAAACTTTATTGTGCTCAGTGGCAGCTTACATAGGGATCCTTAGCCACGCCCAGCTCTCCAGATCTTTCAGCTGCAGGTCTCATCAGCCTACCACCAGGGTCTTGTGCTCAGAGCAGCTACAAACGAGGTCTCATGTTCAGAGCAGCTGCAGGTGAGGTCTCGTGCTCAGTTCACTCCAGCAGGCAAAGAATCTGCAGCAGGCAAAGAAAATCAAGGGGTCCGGGATCTATAGCTCCCGTCTGCTGGCCTGTGAGCATGTCTGTGATCGGGCTGGCCCATGAGCACATCTGGATCAGGCTAGCCCATGAGCACATCTGCTGGCCTGTATGTCTGAGATCAGGCTGGCCCGTGAGCATGTCTGTGATCAGGCTGGCCCATGAGTACATCTGGATCAGGCTAGCCCATGAGCACATCTGCTGGCCTGTGAGCATGTCTGAGATCAGGCTGCCCTGTGAGCATGTCTGTGAGGGATGCTTTTCTTAATCAAGTTGACTGATGAAGGAAGACCTGTTGGGACCATTTGGAGTCCTGGCCTCCAGCTGCTCTTCTCTGCTAGAGATCTTTACTTTCCTTCTGATTTGAGTTGCTGAAAGCTGTGTCAAAGTTGTCTACCAGCTCTGCTACACGAGTATGTGTTACCTTGGCCTTGAGGATCAGAGGATAAGGTTTTCACCTGTTGGCCCACCTGACTGTTGGGTATATAAGCCTCCGCGGTGCAATGGAATAAAGGACTTCTTATCAGTGACTAGAGGTCCGTGTCTCTGTCTCTGTGTCTGTGTGTTTTTGTATGTTTCAACCTCCAGCCCCTTGCCTGAAGCTCGCGAAGCTGCTAGGCAGTGCATAGAACACAGACAGGCGTTGTGCACTGCAAAGACCCAGTCCACAGTGGGCAACACCATTCCCTGGATTCGGGTCTTGGACTGTATGAGAGTAAAGAAATGAAGCTCAGCAGAGACATGCATGCATTCATCTCTCTCTGCTCTTGACAGGGTGTGTGATGTGCCCAGCTACTTCCAGCTCTGCCCTCTTGACGTCTCTACAAAGAGGAACTCTAGCCAGGCACTGGGAGCTGAATTAACTCTTCTCCCTAAGTTGCTCTTTGTCGGGGTCTTCGTCGCGGTAACAGATACGAAACTAGAAACGTCACAGCAGTTGCCTTGGTGCCAACTTCCATCCCCAGACTGTATGACGACTCCGTGACTGGCAGCTTCCAGTCCCTTCGCTTCCTGATGACTCTCTCCACAGTTCTTCCAGTTAACTCAGGAAACACGCATTCAGTCTTGAAGTCAGCATACACTCTACAGGACCCTCAGACTGGAGCTCCCATCCTACGGACAAGATCCAGGAGACTCTTGAAGCTTAGCTGCCATTTCCAAGTCCTTTGTGATGTTGTTCTTCCCACTAACAGTGTTCCCACGGCCTCCCTAACTCTTTCTGAAGTTATCAGATGATTAACCACTGTGGTGTTCTTGCTTAGAACAATGTATTTTCAGTGTCCGCTGTGGGTTCAATCAACTGACACAGGAAGAAGCACAGCAGAAGCGTTAATGCCTGCTTGGTGCTCTCCAAGCCCTGTGAACCTCTTCAAAGTTTCACAGCTCAGAACTTGCAGATGGGAGAATTTAGCCTAGGGAGTAGGATCGGACACAGGGATTTAGGCTCAGGGAATGCAAGGGCAGAGGCACATCCACACCAACTCCTTTTCCCCTCAGAACTTTGGCTGCCCACAGACGACATCTCAGTCAACAGACTACACACGTACAGCTACAATTAGAGCAATGGAGAGAAGCATACCTCATGCTACTGTAAAGACTGGGAATCACAATGGCGGGCCTGGTAAGATACCCTCAACAGTGCAATAGAGACATTTTTATCTTACGGCAGGGGAGATTAGTAACTGTCTAATTAACCCAAAGCCTCACTTGTTAGGAGGGGATTCGTGCCTGGCACTGTAAATCTAGCCAGCTACCTGTGGCGACGAATGTTACGGACTGAAAGGGGAGCACTTACTTCTGCCGTTTTCAATGGTATTCTAAATTCTAAACGGTATTCTAAATACTTATCCTTATATCAAGATGTAAGTATGGATCGATCTTCTCATCAAAGAGCTGCTTCTTGCAGTGCCTAGAGACTGTTACAGAAATTCACACAGGGTCAAAATACAGAGGATAAACGACTATGGCCTGCCTGGCCCCAGTTGATACGTTTACACCTATAGCTCAGGGGAAATTGCAGGATATGGGGTATTGTAGAATAATGTTTTAAGATGTGTTGTATTCATGTGTGCTGTGGAACATTTGTTTAATGATACAAAAACGTGTTGCATTCTTTTGATGCATGTATTGAACTCTGTGAGGCTCTGCCTTCCTAAAACACCTGATTGGCCTAATAGAGAGCTGAGAGGCCAATAGGTAGGCAGGGGAGGGATAGGAGGGGATATTGGGGAGAGAGGATAAACAGATGAGAGAAGAGGGAGAAGGAGGAGGAAAGGAGGGAAGGAGGATAACAGAGGCCAGCCACCCAGCCACACGACCAGCAATGGAGTAAGAAGGAAAGCAAGAGATACCAAAGTAAGAGAAGTAAAAACCCAGAGGCAAAAGGTAGGTGGAATAATTTAAGTTAGCAAAACTGTCTAGAAACAAGCCAAGCTAAGGCTGGACATCCATAAGGAAGAATAAGTCTCTGTGTATTTACTTGGGAGCTGGGTGGGGTCCCCAAAGAGCAAATAGGAAAAAAAACCTACATCCTGGTGCCCAACATGGAGCTGGAATATCCACCTTGATAGAGTCTGAGGAAGCGGAAAAAAAAGAAAAAGATACAGCCCCTTTAAGAAACTGCCATACCAGTAAGCTAGTGCTGGTGAGCTAAGTAGAAACAGCCTGCTGGGTAGGAACACCTGTGGCAGTAAAGGCATCGGATTCCAAAACCTAGGAAAGTTAAAAGCATCCCCAGTCAAATGCAGCTCCAGACGCGGGAGGAGTCAGCTGCCAAAGCCACAACAGAGGTCCTGGCAGCACCGTTCAGCCATTTTTCCCTCATGCAGACAAAAAAGACGAGAGATAGATTCTGACAGAAACAACCTCTAACTCGTCCCAGCGTGTTTCACAATGTGCCTAGGCTTCAGAAAGATGGAAAATGGATATAGACAGTCATAGAAAAAAATAGGTTAAAAAATAACAAAGTTTTTAAAGAGAGAGTGGAGTAATATAAAAGAAAAAGCCCCATAAAATGGGAAGTACACAGGGAGCCTGGATCCTGGATGGGATTGGGTCGCGTTTGTAGTGCTGATTGCCGATAAGCAAATGAGAGCTGCTGAGAGACGTGGGACTGAACGAGGGGCAGCTGAACTCCAACTCCCTGCGGGCAGAAAGATCGTCAGAGGACCAGGATGTCTGCTGCTAGACAGCATCTTCTGGGCATGATCGGGAAGCTGCACCCACAAAATCTCAACAACATGGTTGCCTAAGCAAGACCTGCGAAGACCATACCAGGTGTCATGCCAACAAGGATGAAGGGACTTTTGAAAGGTCTCATACTTACAGTGCTACAGGCATCAATAACTGCTAGGACAAGAAGAATCCGTTTGCTCCAGGGCTGAGATTCTGAACAGGTTTTTCCAATCCCAAGCAGTCAACCTAAGCACATCTACATATGAACAATAATAATAAAAATAATAATTAGAGAAGTCCTGAAGTTAGAGGGAATGGGAAGACGTGGATGGAGTTGGAGAAGAAACGGGGTAAAAATGATGCAAATACAGTACACACGTATAAAAGTCCCAAAAACAACAATTCCAAAGAAAGGAGGAGGAGGAGGGAGAAAGTATCATACATGTCAAAGGAAGGCAAATCAGAAAGGCACCTGTCTGACTTGGGAACATGTCTGCTTCTTGTTTGCCAAGTATAAACAGAGACAATTAGATGAAAAGAAGCCACTAACTTGAGCAAAGGCCACCAGTATATACTAAAAATAGAATGGCCAAAGATACTAAGGAATGCCAGGTGTGGTGGTGGCACACACCTTTAATTCCACCACTCAAGAGACAGAGGTAGGTGGATCTCTGTGAGTTTAACATCAACCTTGTTTACAAAGTGAGTTGGGACAGCCAGGGCTACATAGAGAAATCCTGTCTTGAAAAAAATAATAAGATAAAAAAAATTACTGAGGAACAAGATAACCAAATAGTGACAACATCTACCCATAGCCTCCCAGCTATTACAGTGCCAAACATCACTCTTCGGTAGTGAAAACTCACCACAGCCACTGGGGGGGGGGGGGGTTGAATAGGAAGGCCCCTCCCCATAGACTCATGTGTTTGAATGTTTGGCGCATAGGAAGTGGCCCTGTTAGGAGATGTGGCTTTGTCAGAGCCGGTCTGGCTTGGTTGGAAGAACCTTGTCACTGCTGGGATGGGCTTTGAGGACTTAGATGTTCAAGCTCTGCCTAGAGGGGCAGTCTCTTCCTGCTGCCAGCAGATCATGATGTAGGACTCTCAGCTCCTTCTCCAGCACCACACCATATCTGCCTGCACGCTGCCATTTTCCCCACCAGGATGATAACAGACTTAACCTCTGAACTATAAGCTAGCCCCAGTTAAATGTTTTCCTTTATAAGAGTTGCTGTGGTCATGGTGTCTCTTCACAGTAATAGAAACCCTAAGTAAGACAGCTACCTAGATGTGGTAGCCCCAAAATAACAGCACCTGGCACTGTGCAACCCACGGTGAGGGAAAAATATACTGTCAGAGTGTTTCTGCCAAGACGCTTGCATTTGAACCCTGTGGGGGACAATTCTCAGTCAAACAACTACACGAGGCAGCTAGTCATTCTATACCAACCGAAGCTAAGAACGGACACAACCCACGTCGCCAATCGGGTCCTGGTTCTAATAAAACACTATTAAAGATGATTTGGAGCGACGGGAACTCGGATTGGCATAGGTGCTATATGAGACTGGCATCTCCTGCTCCAAATGTATGGCCAAGCTTAGGCTATAGCGTCAAGGCCCCTCCTCTCTTTCCCGTGTAGCCGCCGTCCTGGAGAAACTAGAGAATACAATAAATAGCGTTAGATACGTGGTTTTCAGAAACCATCATATATTATTTTTTTCAGAGAAGAATGAGTTCCGAGCAAGCAGCCCCGTCAAGGGCATGCAGTGCTGGCCTCGTTATTGTGAGGCTTTATTCGTAGTCCACACCACTTCCAGTAGAGGAATTTGCTTCTGCTTCACTTAGGTACTTCACTTCTGCCTCCACCCCACCGCCCACAACATGACGATAGCATTAGGTATTTCACCTCTGCCCCCGCCCCATCACCTGTGGCATGAGGACAGAATGAGAGTCAATGGTGCCCACAAACCTTTCCCAATGCTAATTCCATCTATCCATCTTTCAGTAAATGCAACAGTGGTTATGCATAATTTTTAAACCAAGCAGCACAGTTAAGAAGCAGTGAAATGATCACTTTCCTTCTATGAATTGCACAAAGCCAAACAGACTTCCGGTAGAGGGTACATTCACCATGCACTAGTCTTGAATATGCCGACTTGCTTAACAGTTTTTCTATAAACTGGAGACAAATAAAAGAATGTCCTTGGTGACTTTAAAGCGACCCCAGAAACAGCCACATTTACATCTGTGAGAGAAAAATCCATCATCTGGCTAATTCCCACAGTTGATCAGAACGGGGTAGAAGCTTAACTGGCCGCTTAGGGCTGACACCCCAAAGGCAGCATTTTCATCCTTCCCAGAAGCTGCAAATGTCCTGGGTTCTGCCTTGGCTAGAGGGCAGGAATCCCAGAAGGGAACTCAGCTTTGTTCTCCCTGTGCACCTGAAGGAGCGCCCTTCCTGAGCTACATATAAGTGAGGATGTGTCTGAGACTCCAGTCCCTTCTGGTTTTGGAACTGGATCTGAGTTTCACTGTCATTGTTTTGTTGGAAATGAGTGACTATTCCCTAATTTCAGCTCATCTCCTAAGTGATCTTGGGGTGGGAGGATTAGTAGCCTCGAGGACACTGAGGATGGGCCCCGCCTCCTGTCTCTGTAAAACAACACCAGAGAGTTAAAAGTCCTGCTTCGCTTTCTATTGCTGTGATACATGACCAAAAGGAACTCGAGAAGGAAAGGGTTTGTTACAGCTAGTAGGTTACAGTCTGCCACTGAGGAAGGCCAAGGCATGATGGGGAATCTCGGCCAATCACATTCTGCTTAAGGTGTGTCCCCCTGGGGCCACACAAAACAAATAAAAGATCGAAGTGCCTTGTCACTTCCTCTCTTTGGTTCCCTGCTCATCTGGTGTTCATGGGATCTCTGGTAATGTAAGTTTTCCCCATCTATTAAAAGCTAAATCTTTTTATATTGAGTTGGCCTGGTTAATTATTGATTGCCCACGCCCCTTCAAAGGCAGGATCCTTGAGGAAGGGGCTGAAGCAGAGCCCACGAGGGAATTGTTCTTCATTGGCTTGCTCGCCCTGCCTCATTCAGCTACCTGGCTTATACAATGCAGGCCCACCTGCCTAGAGATGGCATTGCCCACGCTAGGCTGAACCCTGCTGCATCAGTTAACGCCTCATAGACTCACAGACATGACCGTGGAAGCACTCCTGTTCAGCTGCCCTCTTCCCAGCTGTGCCAAGCTGTCAATCACGTTCCCACCGTCAGCTCTGTCATTCCTGGCCAAAGCTGGGAAACCTCTGGCCCTGGGTAGAGACACAACATTCTAATCTGCTCCAAAGAGGAGAGTAAATGCAACTGGGTTTGTCAGTCACCACGCCAGGAGTCTACCTGCCCCAGGAAAGCTGCTTTACCTAGAAACATGCTAACATGGGAGCATAATTCTCCACTAGTGAGCTAAAGTGCCTGTCCTTCTCAGAAGCCCCTCCCTTGGAGGAGGCACTTGTGGAACTTCCATCATGTGACACGGGAGTCTTCTGCTTGTCCAGGTTACTCAGAAACCTGTAACCTCTCCTTCTTCTGTTTTTTCTTTCTTTCAGACACTGGCCTAAACCTGGGCACATGTTCCTTGTCCTCAACTCAGTCTTTCTCTCTGAAGCCATGTCCCTCCATCCTCCCACCACGTGGCTTGTCCACTGTCTTTGTCTTTGGTCTGTGTTGCTGTGGCCAGGTACTGACTAAAAGCACTTTAGGGAGAAAAGACTTTATTTCATCTTACACATTGCATACAGTCCATCACTAAGGAAAACCAAAGCAAGAACTTGGCTGGGAGCTTGAAACAGAAACCACGGGGGGAATGCCACTTACTAGCTTGCCCCCAGACTCACCTTCAACTACCCTACTTATACAGCCAGGATCACCTGCCTGAGGATGGTACGACCCACAATGGGGGTGGGAGGCGGCCTAAACCATCATCAGTCAAGCAAATCTCTCACAGATGTGGGCAGTTCTTCACTCGAGGCCCCCAACTAATCAGGTGACTCTGGGTTTTTGTCAGGTTAACAGCTGGGCTACTATGACATCCACAATGTAGCTGCTTACAAGGAGTGTGGCTTTCTCTCCTTGTCTTGCTGCTCCCAGCAGCTACAGCAGCTGCTTACTGGCCACTGTTGCTGCTCTCAAACTCTAAGAAAATGGAGCCTGTCCTGAAACTCACGCTGTAGCCCAGGCTGGCCTGGAACTCACAGAGATCCACCTGTCTCTGCCTCCTGGGTGCTGAGGTTAAAGGCCTGTGCCACCACCTCCTGGTTCTAATTCTTATTAATGAAATTAAGAAAACAAAATGGGGAACTCAAGTTTTCCGGGTAACACACTCAACAGGCAAATAAGAAACATGCCCACCCCCGCCTGAACCAGATACCGTTTGGTTTTAAATACAGCCCGCAGAGCTATAGTCATTGGGGAAGCGTTTGCAGTTCTAAACACTGTTAGAAATACCAGTGACCCGAGGCACAAAAGGACACATGAACCATGATGCAGGGCACTTAGGGGACTTGAAGGTGTTAAAAACCACACCTCCTGGGTTACATAGTCAGAGGGAAGGGCTTGGAATCCTGCCACCCCCCCCCCCCCATCATCAAACGCTATCTGGGAAAGCAATGCATTTTACGCAACTCGCAACGGAACACAGACCTGACCGTAAATCAAAACAGCCAAAAGCTCGGAAACCTTTTTCGCACCATGCTCCACACCAGCTTAAATAAATCTGCATCGCTGCCATAGGGTCCCAGGTCTTTATTTTCAGAAGCTCCCAGGTGAGCCTAATGTGCAGCCAACATGGTGAGATGCCGGCAGCAAACCCTTAAAGAGCTCAAATCTTAAAATGGTTCCACGTTCATCTGCCAGGCCTCTGCGGAGCCCAGAAGCAACCTGTCTAGGGGAAACAGGAAAAACCCTAACTCAAACAGAAGCTGCGGGCGCCACCCACTCCCCCACCCTGCCTAGCAGCCGCCAGCGCTACCTGCCTTGGAGCAAGGGAAACTTTTCCCTTTTCCCAAGCGCTCCTGTCTCCCATCACGGCTCACGTCCAGTTACGTAACCCAGGGAGCTGGTTTTTATTTAAAAGTTCAAAGTCAAATTGGATCCAGCACAGCAGGAAACAGGATAAATTTAGAGAGGCTCTCAGGTCTGTCAGCAGAGGCAGGCGCGCTCTGGCTCCCATTTGCTGTGCAAAACTCCCCGGCATTCCGAGGTTACAAGTGCAGCCAGATATTCGTCTCAGAGAAAAGCAACATTGGGTGGGATCTGAGCCACTTTCATTTCCAAGAAAGGTGCGTTGCCATCACACACCATCTTCGGCCTGTTTGTTTTTTGTTGTTGTTGTTGTTGTTTGTTTTCTTTCTTTGTAATAAAGATTCTGGGCGGGTGCAGCAGAGAGAATGTGCTGGGGGTGGATTTCAGGGAGGGGGACCTTTTATTAACGCCCTATACTCAGGCGCTGGGGATGACGGGGATGCTGGGATAGGAAACTTAACACCACTCAGAGCAACAGAAGTTCCTTCCGTTTAGGAATTTTAGATGGGACAGGTGTCTAAGTGTGGGCACTTGTGCCAAAGCACCCATGTAGAAGCAAAAGGACAACTTTGTGGACTCAGTTCTCTCCTTCTACCTCTATGTAGGTTCCTGGGGATCAAATTCAGGTCATCTGACCTGACAGCAAGTTCTGGCGGCTGAGCCCTCTGGCCTGCCCTCCAGTACATTTTCTAAGGTGGTATTTTTGTTTATAATCTAACAAGCAAAGCTTGCCTGAAGATCAGAGTGCAGAGCTAAGCCACTAGTCAGTCATAGAGCCAGGCAGTGGAGGCACACACCTTTAATCCCAGCACTTGGGAAACAGAGGCAGAGGAATCTCTGAGTTCAAGGCTACCCTGGGCTATACTAAATTGAATCTGTTTTAAAGAGAAATAGAGCTCACACAAAGGTGATCCTAACATTTGGGATTACGTGCCTTTGATCCCAGCACTAGGGAGAGAGACAGGAGTGATATGGCTAGGTGGAGAGAGGAATATAAGGCGGGAGGAGGCAGGAGCTCAGACTGACGATTCAGTCTAGGGAGGCAGTCTGAGGTTTCATAGAGACAGAAGTTTGAGGATTCGTACAGACAGGTTCGCCGTTTTGGTCTGAGCATTGGTAGAGGTGAGGACTCTAGTGGCTGCCCGCTCTGCTTCTCTGATCCTTCAGCTTTCACCCCTGATAATCGACTGAGTTTTTACTATCAAGACCAATTAGAACTTGCTACCACAGTTTCCTGCCACACTGGCGTAACTCGCTAGCATAAAGTTAGCAACAAAGTTAGCACTTTAAGGACTCTTGTTACTTTGATGTTTTCATTGCATAAGACAGGCATAAAGAATTGAAGAGTGTTCTCAAGGGAGAATTCCAAAACAGATCTGTCAAGTAAGCATGTCATTCTCCGCCACTGATTGGTGCCGAACCTGTTTTTATTGATACACCGGCCTCACGGGCAGACGACAACGTGAGAAACATATCTTCATAGGGAAAGGCTACAGAGGAACCTGAACAAAAATATCCCTTGTCACTTTTAGAAATAAGTTTGGGGTTGCAGAGGGACCACCACTGCAACTGAGGGTCTCAACAAAACAAAACTTTATTCTTGATCAAGTAGATGCACTTCACCCAAAAACAGAAGAGCAAGCACTCTGGGGCAGAAAACATGGCTGGGTTTCCTTTTCTAACTTTTCATTAATTCTTTGTGAATTTTACATCATGTGTCCTATAGTAGACTTCCTTTGGGGCCACCAACCAGCTCCGAAATAAAGACCTAGACTTCTTCTTAGCCTTATCGTATGCTTCTCCCACTAGCTCTTATAACTTAATTTAACCTGTTTCTCTTCATCTACAATTTGCCTCGGGGCTTTTTACCTTTCATTCTGTATGTCCTGCTCTGTGTCTGCCTGCCTGACCCCAGGCATCTCCCTCCCTTTCTCCCTTCTCCCAAGCCTAGATTCTCCCTACTTATTCTCTCTGCTCACCAGCCCCCGCCATCCCTCCTCAGTCTAGCTATTGGCCATTCAGCTTTTTATTAGACCAGTCAGGTGCCTTAGGTAGGCAGAGCAACACATCTTTACAGAGTTAAACAAATGCAGCATAAACAAACGTTACATATGTTTACATAGTTATAATATTCCACAGAAGTACTTTGACCCCATTTATCTCCCGTCCCTTCGTATCTGCCCTCTGCCCTTGCAACCTATCCTCCCAATAAAATAAAATAAAATTTAAAAGAAAAAATCTTACTGTGAAAGCTGTGGTATGGCCCAGTGAGGCACAAAGTGTACCCTTGAGCCCATACATCTCTACGTGCAAGTGTTCATTGCAATGAGTCATTTGTCTGGTTCTAGGCCTCTGGGCCCTCACTGGGACTTCTCTTGGATACACTGTTGTTCTCCTGTGTCATGGAGATCCTGTAGCTTGGGATCTGCAAGACTGGCCCCTTCACATGCTCCAGCAGTTTCTAGATGGGGTGGATATTGGTGTGGGCCAACTCATAGCCCTAGTCCTGGGCCTGAGCAGAAACTGGGTTGGATGAGGGAGAGCTGGTGCACCGACCACCCCATCTAGAAACTGCTCAGCTGAGGCTCCTTCCTCTGATGACTCCAGCTAGTGTCAGGTTGACACACAAAACCGGCCAGTATAGACAGAGTGTGAGAGACCCTGTCCATAAAGGATTGTCATGGCAGGTGGTCCACAGTGCCGGCAAGCATCCCTTCTGACTCCTAAATACCCACAGCAGGAGGAGGAGATGCTACTGGCACCTAGTGAGCCCACGGACGCTGCTGAGTGTTCTATAGCCCACAGTTCAGGCCCACACAGAAGTTACCTATGTGCCCCAAAGTGTCAGTAGTACCCAAGTACGAAAGCAGACTCTGAGGAAAGTCCCACGTGCGCACAAAAGGCCACCGCCTGGGGAACCTGTTGTAGTTTAAGTGTCTTAGCCATTGTTCCATTGC